CTCAATGAGAGCAACGGCTACGGCAGCTTCGAGCAGGACGTGGCCAAGGCCAACTGGAAGGAGATCTGCAAGGTCTGGGGGACGGGCTTCAAGGACTGGGACCACGACGAGGCGCTGGGCTGGTTGGACCAGCTCTCGCAGGATGGAATTCGTTAACCTGCCCACTTCCCTCACCACCACCCGCATACATCGCCTATTCTGGACGCTTCGCGTACCCCCACTAGTCCATCCAGATGCGATGCTTGGGCGAGATGTCTTGGCCAGGGAAGTGTAGCAGCATGCAGTGTAGCAGCATGCGGCGCAACAGGGGGGACCCAAGAGGGCCCCGAGATGGGGCTCAAGATGGCCCCATGTGGGCTCCAACAGGGGCCCAAGAGGGCCCCAAGAGGGGTACGCCAGGGGTCCCAGAGTTGGCCCAAGAGGCGGAGGGCTAATCACAACACATTGTTGTGGCTGTGTCGTTCGTGGGTTACATTAGGGGCTTCTGCGGAGACATCGGGGCCGACCCAGGATGGCCACGCGAAGACCCCGAGAGGGGTTCAATATGTACCCAGGGGGCCCCATCAGGAGCCCAAGAGAGCTCCAAGAGGGGCCCAGACAGGATCACAGAGGGGGCACCAATGACAGAATACCAACCAATACAATATTGATTGGTTGTACCGCTCGTAGGTTCCATTGTGGGCTTCTGGGGAGGCCCTCTCCCCACCCCCAGGAGGGCCCCACGAGAACTATCGCCCAATATGGCTCCAAGAGGGGCTCCAACGGGCCCCAAGATGCCACCAGAAGGCTCCACGAAAGCACCGCGAGGCGGAGGGCGAACAGCGTATTATTGTGCAAGGTGTGCCAAGGATCTGCATCGTCTTGCAAGACTTTGTATGGTGTTTGCAGGGTTGTTGCAAGATCGTTGCAGGGTCGTTGCAGGACGCGTACAGGGTCGTTGCAGGGCGGGCGCTGCAAGGGTATTGCAGGGTGTTGCAGTGTCGTGTTGCAGGGCATTGCAGGATCTTGCAGGGTCTTTTGCAGTGCCTTTGCGGGGAGGCTTAGACAGAGTATAGCAGGGTCGTCGAAAGACGCCCAGGGGAGAGGGAAGGGAGACTGGCTCTTCTAGGAAGGGGTGCGACCTAACTCCCTAGACCACCTACGCCCAGAAGGCGGGTGAGATGTACTCCGCGCACCCTCCCCCCTCCGCAACGTTCGCTGCGGGCAGGGGTTGTGCGAGGAATGGGGGGGATCAGGGGGATGTGGAACGGTGGTGGGGACTAGGTCGATGACAAGGGCGCTGGGGCCGTGTTCGGACACTCCTGGGCCGACCAGAACTATCGGAACCGCATTCGCCCCGCTGGCAATCTCCCCCCTCGCCCGTCCACCCCCTCGTTCTCTCGGCCATCGCCTAAGCCAGTCACATCATTTGTCCAATCGCATCCCCCTCGACGTACCCCCCCACTCCCCGCACCTCACTCCCCCCTATCATCGTTAACGGGCCCTTCTCCCGCACGACAGCACCCCCCTATCACGTGCATACTATACCCATCCTGTCGTGACAACCGCAAGCATTACCATTTCATCGCGTGCACCAGCTGCGAGCAACGCACACGATAACGGCCGCTAGGAACAACTACCAGCGATTGAACGGTCGCATATGCAAATCAGAAGCTGTACGCTCCACGACGAGCATGACATGGGCGCTAGACGTCAAGGGGAGCCAACGCAGCTGTTTGCAACGGTTGTGGCCAGGCCTCCTGGCCACAACCGTTGCAAACAGCTACGCAATTGCCCCGCACCACAGCCCCGTCCCCCCACGATGGCCCAGTGAGGCCACATGTCTCCCTTCCCATCTGACGCGGGGGTGTGGTTGCTGTTCGACAGGACCTGACCACGTACACGGACCTCTGCGATGTGTTCAAGATTGCGCCGCAGCAGGACATCACACAGGAGTTCAGCACGTTGGCGACTACAATCGCTTCGGCCGTGGCTGCAGCGATGATAATTGAGGCGTGTGTCAGCTCGGATGCAAAGGATGGCGTGAGGCTGCGGCAGAGGATGACGCCTGCCAAGAACGTGATGCGGGATCACAAGGTGCTCCCTAAGCACTTGCCGACGGGCATCAAGAAGGCCTACGACCAGGCAGTGGAGATGACGTTCGCCTCATAGGCCCGCAGCCCGCGTGAGGCTACCCGCGCCCTGAGAGGGGCGACACAGCCGACGATGAAGAGTGGGAGGGGGCTGAGAGGAGGAGGATGATGTCAGGTCGGGGTGGGGCGGAGGTTGGGGGCTGCGGCGGCGAGGATCAGAGGGCACATATAGGGTGATGACGTTCAGACTCGAACAGCAGCTGCAACAATTAGATCGCTCAGCGCTGTATTGGCGCTGTGAATCCTGTGGCCGTCGAGGGCCACGTTGTGAAATCTACTCGGCGCGAGCGCCGTGCTTGGTGTGTGACCCTCATGTCTTGCTGCCGCGTCGGGCATTCACTTGCAAAGCCACGTTCATCGTATACGCTTCGCATTTTTGCCGCCACCCCATCCAGAACGTGTCCAGGCGAGTTGTCGTGACCAGAGAAGCGAAACAACCCGTTGTTTAAATAACGGGGATGGGGAGCCTGTATATGCCTTCGCGGCTCTACGGAATAGGGGTGGGGATGTAGTGATATGGAGTGGGGCGGTGGTCAATGCGATGGCGATGAAGAGGGGGAGGATGACGTTGGACGAGGTGGGGGGAGGATGACGAGGAGGGTGATGGAGTGATCTGGCGGCGGCGACGGCGTCCGCAAAGATGGCGATGATCGCGACGACGACGGGGGCCACCCTTGAAGGCCGTTGCGGGTCTTCGCTCTTGGAGCCCCTGGGGCCACACTGTACCCCGTTGGTTGTTCTGCTCAGTTGCCTCGAATGCCTTCTCGGGGTTCCCTCAGCGCCTTCTCAGGGGCCATTGCGGGGGGGGGGGCACTGGGGCCATCAAGGACGGCATCGGCCATGGGGAGGGGGTGAGCGACCAACGTTGCTCATCTGGGGCCCCAAGAGCCGCCTCTAGTAGCACTCGTGGGGCGTTATTGTGCGCTATTGGGTGTACTTGGGGCCGTCTTGGCGCGTTACTGGGCCCTCTCGGGGCTCTCTCGTGGCATAGTAGGACAGCCTTGCATCGCCTGAAGCGTTCTGATGCGACATTGCGATCATGTGCATTTCGCTGTGTTGTCTTGCATTGGAAGTATGGTCAAGTTTGGGTGTTTTTTTTTTTTTTTTTTTTTTTTTTGCCGAGGGGTTCTGAGATGCTCTATGGCCATTCGAGGCCATCTCGGAGCGGCCGCGTGGCTTATCGCGGGCGCGTCGGGGGCCATGCGGGGCAGCATCTGGGTATCTATAGCAATGTTTGGGGCGATACTGGGCGGGGCCTCCTTGGACCCCCCCGAAACATCTTGGGCTCTCTAACCCCTAGGGTTGCGCCCCGTCAGGTCCAAGTGGTCTGGGGCATTGGGGGGGGGGAACCACCTCACCGAATATAAACAACGGTTGGAAGAGGAAGCGCCGAACCGCTTTCTCACAGAGGACTGGTTGGATTCCTCAAGGCTGTTGCCTTCCCCTCGCCCGCCCCCCGAGGCGCCGTGGCGACCAATTTCTCAGAGCCCAGCCCCGCTCGAACGCGGGACAGCCCCGCGTGTAAACATGAAAAACGGGAGGGGGAGAGCGGACGGGCGGCGGGTCGTCGGGCGGGTTTGGGCGGGACGGGAGGTTTTGCAAAAGAGCGACAGAAGGTGAGGGCGGATGGCCGAGTCGGCGGTGCTGGCTTTGCCCTTTCCCACGCTCGCCTATCATTTCCATCTCGGCGCGTGACTGCCCCGCCCCTTGATCACCTCCCTCGTTGCTCTTCTCCCCTGCGCAACGTGCCTACTCGCGCATCCCCTCTACCTTCTCCCCGTCTTTCCCTCAATTTAGATCCCTCTCTCTCCCTGTATCCTTCTCTACTCCTCTCTCTCTCGCTCCCTCCGCGCCCCCCTCTTTCCCCGCGCGCCCTCCGTTCCTTTACGTCCCCCCTTTGGATATCCCCGATGCCCGCTCCCCTTCCTTTGGCCCCCCCTCCGCCCTCTAGAAGCATCTCCCCTCCGTGGGCCCCTTTCCGCCCTTCCCTTCTCCAACGCACATGTTACTTCAAGTGGAACCCACGTTTTTTGAGGTGGGGGATTTTCGATCGTCCGCGGATGGTTGTTGGAGGGTTTTTGGAGGGTTTGCTGGGGAAGGCGTTTGAGGGTTTTCGGAGGGTTTTGGTGTTTGCGGCCGCAATCTAGAGTCTAGCGGAGCATGGGTTACATAATGCTGCGTGGCTCGCAACAGCGAGAGTGGGCGAGGCATCGCTTGTTCCCCCGAAGGACCACCCTCCGCTGACCTTCCCACAAGCTTGCGAAAACGTCACCCGTTGCGCGGATGGCAATGCCCAGGAAAGGAGACTTCATCGTCCGGATCTGAACGAGATCGGTTTCCTCCCTTTTGCTGCTGGCCCGCCTTCTCCTCACAGTCTGTTCCTCCGCCTCCTCCTCCTCCTCCTCCTCCTCCTCCTCCTCCTCCTCCTCCTCCCCCTCCTCCTGCGAGGAGTGGCGGCAGCGAGGAGAACGGGTCGCGTGGCCCCATACTTCCCTTCCCGTGGGAAAGAGGCTCCTGGAACCCCGAGCTTCCGCCTCCGACGACTCGGCGGTGGCAGCTGGGAGGCGACGGATTGCTTTGCAAATTCTCAAGGGGGCCTTCGGGAACTCTTAGGATACCTGTCCGAAGCTTTTAGGAGGCCGCACGCTACAATCAATCAGGTTGTGATCAAATTGGTTATGCTTTCTGTCATCCGTCCGAACTGTTGGTGGCTAGCAGACGCGATATTTGTTTGTTTTAATATGTTTGCGATTCGCAGTCAGGAGTAGCGCACACGGTGTTTCATCGCGTCCTAACCAACGAACGTGCTCAGCCTTATCATCGTCCTTCCCCCACCCCCCTCCCTCTGGATTCCGCTCCCCCTCTTCGAGGTCGACCCCAGTGGCTTCGGGCGAGCCGACCCCTCTGGCTTCCGGCAGGCTGACCAGTCCAGTTCCGCTGCCTTAGCCCCAGCCTTATGGACCCACTTGTTCTGGTCGTCGGTCTCGTCAATGAGCACGAAGAGGAGGAGGACGAGGAAGAGGAGGAAGAGGAGGAAGAGGAGGAGGAGGAGGAGGGGGAGGAGGAGGAGGAGGTAGAGGAGGGGGGAGGAAGAGGAGGAGGAGGGGGAGCAAGATCACCATGTAAGTTAGCGTGGGCCCCGAATTGTGGGTCAGTCTCGATGCGCGACATCTGTGGTGCAGTCTGTGTATGGTTTAGCTTGTGCGCGTGTCTTTGTTTGTGATGCAGTATGTATGTATGTATGTATGTATGTATGTATGTATGGATGGATGGATGGATGGATGGATGGATGGATGGATGGATGGATGGATGGATGTATGTATGTATGTATGTTGGTATGTTGGTATGTATATATATATATATATGTACACACCTGTACGTATGAGTGTACAAGTGGCACGTGCGTGCCAAGGCTCACAGTTATCCCGACGAAGGACCCAAACATATTATGTTGTGAGTAGTGCAGTTGTGGTTACCGTCTTCGGTCGAGTTCCCTATCGTGCCATGGAGCGTGTGAGGGGTGTGCTGGAATGGGTGCGGGGCGGCATGCGAGCGTTGCCACTTGGGCCTTCAGTGGAGGAAGCTCCCTGCGGGGTCACGAACCGTTTGAGGAGTGTGCGGAAATTGGCGCGACGTTATCACGCGAGTTGCGCCACTGGGGTCTTCGGTGGAGCTTTCTGTGGTGCCACGAACCGTGTGAGGGGTGTGCGGGAATTGGCGAGACGCCATCTTGCGAATCGCGCCAATTGGGCCTGAGGTGGAGCTCCCTGTGGGGCGAATTGCGCCACTGAGGCCTGATGTGGGGCTCCCAGTGGGGCCACGATACGTTTGAAGGCTGTGCCGAAGTTGATGGCACGCGGAGGGCAGAGGCAGGGATGGGAAGAGTGGAGGGAGGAGGAGGAAGGAGGAGGACGCGAGGCGCTTTCTCTTCGCAGCGTTGTCACGAGACGAATCGCGGAATAGTATTTTGTCGGTCCCCGCCAGGCGGTGCCACGTGGCGAAGCGAGTGGAATAGTATTTTTCCGGCCCCAGCGGCGCTGCCACTCAATGAGTAGAGTGGCGTTGCCACGTGGCAGCCGCCCAATCAACCAGCCAACCAACCTACCTGCCTACCGACTGACCAGCCACCAGTCAACCGATCGGTCAACCAATGATCTTGTTGCGTTGCGTTGAATGTATGGCATTGCGTTGCGGTTGCATTGCATGTGCTGTATATTGCATTGCAGTAAACGGCGGGCGAGGGGGAGGACAAGAGGGGAACATAGAGAAAAGGGGATGAAGAAGGAGAAGTGAGGAGGGAGGAGGGGGAGGGGGGGATTGGGAGGAGGGAGGATGGGGGAGGAAGGAAGGATGAGGGAGGGTGGAGAAGGGAGGAGGAAAGGGGGAGGGAGAAGGACGAGGAGGAGGTTAGGATAGAATTGTATTTCAATCGCTTCGCTCATTCCGCCGGCCCATGTTGCATGATCGCTACTGCTTCGCCGTGGGCCCGGGGCCATTGTGGCGCCGCCGAGGAGGAGGAGGAGGAGGAAAATGAGGATGGGGAAGGAGAGGGGAGCAGGAGGAGAGAATTAGAAGAAGAGGAGGAGGATGAAGATAAGTAGGAGGAGGAGGAGGAGGAGGAGGAGGAGGAGGAGGAGGAGGAAGGGGAAGGGGCGGAGGAGGAAGCCTCTCGTTGGCATCTTGTGTTGCTCTTGGGCCAATCAGGGTCGTCGTCAAGATGCTTCTTTGGGAGGCCCCTTGGGGTCTTTCGAGAAGCCATTCGGGGGCGCCTGGGAGGCATTTTTGAACTTCTGGGGCCTCTTGGGGCCTCTTTTGGGCCTCCTGGGGGCCTCCTGGGGCCTCTTGGGGGCCTCTTGGCGGCATCTTGGGGCCTCTTGGGGGCCTCTTGGGGGCCTCCCGGAGCCTCCTGGGGCCCTCTTGGGGCGGAAGGCTCGAGTCTTCCGTTCGTGGTCCCCCTCTTGGGCCCCTCTTGGGGCCGTCTTGGGGCCGTCTTGGGCCGTCTTGGGCGCCTCTTGGGCCGTCTCGGGGCCTTCTTGGGCCCTCTTGGGGCCCTCTTGGGAGCCTCTTGGCCCGTCTTGGGGCGCTCTTGGGGGTCTCTTGGGCCGTCTTGGAGCATCGGATGGCCGAAAAGGCGACAAGGCCAAAATCCTTCCAAAACCATTGTCAAATTGATGATTCTGGCCTCTCGGGCCCTCGTGTGAGGCCTCTTGGAGGCCACTTGGAGGCCTCTTTGGCCGTCTTGGGGTCATCATCGGCGTCTTGGAGCGCTCTTTGAGCGTCTCGGGGGCCTCTTGAGCAGTCTTGGGGACCTCTTGGGTCAGGAGAGGGGGTAGTCGATTGCGCCCCTCCCCTCGGAGGCCACGATCCTCGTGAGGGGTGTCGAAAGATTGCCCGGTCTGGCATCTCTGATCGGAGTGTCCCGGGGGTGTCCCCGGGGTGTCCCGGGGTACTTTTCGTCCGGGGACCCCCAGGAGGGGCGGCCCCGCGCGCGCGAACTTGAATATTGTTAACCAGTTACCTGAGATCTTAGCACGCCCTTGGCCCGTTGGGCTGGCGAATTTGCCTCCGTGGCCCTCGTCGTCGTCGTCGTCGTCGTCGTCGTCGTCGTCGTCATCATCATCATCTCCGTCGTGGTCGTTTTCATCGTCGTCCTCGTCGCCGTCCTTGTGGCATAATGTTTGGTTCGGCTCCCGCGGTGCTGCCACGTGACGACTAGAATGGACTATGATTTCTCCGCGCCTACAGGCGTTGCCACGTGGCGAGTTGAGTGGCATAGTATTCTTTTCGGCCCCCGCAGCGTTGCCACGCGACGAAAGGATTGGAATAGCTTGTTGTGTCGGCCCCCGCGGCGCCTCCACGTGACATGTAAAGTTTTACGACGACATGGGAGCGGTTACGGATGAAATTGACTCAACAGGTGGATGTGTCCACGTGTGGCGGGTGCGACCATGCCAGCAACACCGAAGCCCTGACTGGCACCGCCGTACCCGCATTGAAAGTAAATACATTCCGTGCTCGTCGCTGCAGTGCCGAACTGCCTCTTGCCTGCTATGCTAGGCCTGCCGCTACAACGGTGCAGCACGCGTTTGGTGCGGGCTGGCAAGCGCTGTGCGTTGGAATACCCTGAACGGCGGCTCAGGGAGGAAACCCATCCTCTGAACAGAATCCGAAGACTTACAGTCGAGCTTTCTCCAACATGCTCTAACACAGTTTAGAACATGCGCGGCAGCTGAGAAAAGTCCTGCTATGGCGGGTGACGAAAGAAGGGGTGGGGGGGATCCTCCTCATCTCCTCCTCGGGAATAGCAGGAAAGAGGGAGAGTGAATAGGAGTCTAGCTACGGCTCTGTACGAGGGGGCAACAGGAGGACCTCGTGGAGCACATCAGGAGAACAAAAATTCGGCGGCCTCCTCATCAGCGGCTAGATCATGGGTACGTGGCTCAGGATCAGCATTATCTGAAGAGAAGTCACCAGGCGTCTGATGTGAGAGGTCGGTCTCGGGAACTGCTGCAGGCGTGGTCGCTGCAGTGGCTGGGAGTGTGCCACCAGGCACAAATCGGATCACCCTGTCATTCGTCGGAAGTGGTCCAGCCATGTCGATATCTCCTCCTCCAGCCAGCCTGCAGGGGCTGGGCCCAGGTGGTGTTTCGCAATCCCTTCTGAGCGTAGGCCAGCGAGAAGGAGGCCTCGTCCCTGCCAATCCTTGGCGCCGAGGGTCAGCTTGGCGGTGTTCGGGTCGTGAGTCCTGTCGACGCGTAGGAAGGCGATTTCGGTCTGGAGGGTCTCCACGTCGATCAATGGTTCGAGCTGGGGGTCCTCAGGCTGGCACTTCTCGAGGTACTCTTCGATCTCCTTGCGGACTCGGCCTCCCACTTCGCATGTCAGTAGTCCTTCCAGAATGGCGAGCGCGAGTGCGGGGGTCGGCGGGCCCAGCATCTTGAGCGCCTCTGTGTCCTTGTTGGTTCGGTAGGTGTTGACCCGCGTCTTGAAGCCCTCGAGTTCCGTCGAGATGTGGGAGAGCGTCGGATGGTTGATTGGTAGCGTCCATGTGTCGGCCACCGTGCACATGATCATCCGTATCTTCTGAGTATTTTGAAATGTGAGCGTCATCAGCGAGGTGAGCAGCATCTGCATGTTCTTGTCTTTGTTCGTCCATTGCTTGTCGGTGTGTTGTCCTCGATGGGCTCGTCGTCCGCCTCTGCGTCGGGCGCGACGAGGCTCGTTCTGTAGGTCCGTGTCCATGTCGTCGTCTTCCTGGTCCGCTGCCGGCGTAGGTTGGCCCTTGTTGCCCTTGGTGCCCTCGACCTTCCGTCGGCGCTGGGGTGGTTCGTCGGTCTTGGAGTCGTTGCCAGAGGTGCCAGACTTGGTCAAGGACGGTGGCGGGCCTCTCCACGGGGCACGCTCTCCGCGTCGCGGTGCTTTGGGTTGAGCTGGCGTGTTCGGCGCCGCTGCTGGTGGCGTGCTGCTGTCCGCTGCTGAGGCCATCAGGTGGAGCTGGCGGCCGAGCTCGTGAAGTAGTAGATGCTGTAGCTAAAGCTCGAGTATGTGTGCCCAGCTGAAGCGTTGCTGCCTGTCGAATCTCTTGGCGAAGCAGAGCGGCGTCGGAAGGTCGCCACGGTGGGGCGGCGAGGAATCGCTTAGGCACTGTCGGTCCGCGCGGGCGTGCCTCCCTCGCCGAGCGAGGCAATGTCTTGAGCCAAGGGCCACGCGGCGACGGAGGGATGTGCGTGCGGAGGTGGGATCGGAGCTCGTCGAGGTCGTGGTGATCTCGCTGACAATCGATGTTGGGGCTGATGTGTTCGAGCGGACATCGAGTGGCAGTAGTGGGCTGCCACGTGTACGTGTGGAGGGTGCGATCGATGAAGCATCGCCCTTCGATCCAGGACCGTCGATGATGAGTTTGGCAATACTTGATAGAACCGTAAACCTTATCACAAACCAGGAA